AATACTCACAACCCGGAAGTACCATTCCCATAACAGAACAATTGTGTTCTGTTTTGGGAACAGTACTTCCGGGTTGTGAGTATTATTGTTCGGTTATGGGAATGGCACTTCCAGGTGGTGAGTATTATTGTTCTTTTATGGGAATGACACTTCCGGGTTGTGGGTATTATTGTTCTGTTATGGGAATGGTACTTCCGGGTTGTGAGTATTGTTGTTCTGTTATGGGAATGGCACTTCCGGTATCAGAGTATCATATATTTGAAATGGGTATAGTATGGACTAATGGACTCCGCTTAGGCTCAGGCCAACTTTGGCTCACTTCATATGACCTGTTTGAGGAGTCCCTCTGAGCGGAACTGTGCTGAGCTTGTCGACCCGTAATATATAAAGCAGCATAAAGGATGTTATTTGATCAACAATATTCTGACTTTCAATTTTGTTTTGTGAATGTTTCTATTTTCTTGCTTCGTTCGGATATAGAAAAAGGTTGTTGGTCATTTTATTCATAGTGCAGTTATAGAAAAGCATTATAGAACTTGTAAAACGACTCTATCACTGCAATGGTAGCATTGGAATCAGCCAAGGCTCACTTCGCTAGCATTTTGCTACACGCAGTCTCTATGCTTTTCCCTACGGATTTTGTGAGAAAGTAATCAAGTAGAATAGGCCTGTGAGAAATCTGTCAAGGACTCAATCTCTATACTGCATCATCGCTAGTAAGAGCGTTATGAGACCGATGAGACTATAATTGTACTGTGCCTTACGAATCTCTGCTGTGTTATTGTAATAAAAAGTATTCGGCAAGTTATTTTCTATTATAAATGGTTCATTTCTTTTGAACAAGAATCGATATCGTCGGAATCTTTTTTAAGTTTTAAAGAGTAGTCATTGATATTTTGTTTATAACAAATCAATACGGCTTAACTAGCTGCTCAAGATCAAACACGAGTAGCATGCCGTACGAGATATAAAAAGGAGTCATCTATGAAGGAGATACATCATTTTTGGATGGCTTCAAATATTTATTCGCATTGTTTTCAACTAGCAACCAGTAGAAAACAGAGTAACAATTGTTAGTTAGTCATTTTTTCGCTGGCTCTTTTTCTTATGCTGATGTCTTTTTTTGAATGCCTTCCAATTAGTAGCTGCTACACGCTCACCATTGATCATCAAACCTCATACCTGAATCTAATTTTTGCTTAATCTTAGTTAATCAATTAATTATACTATATCCATTGATTCAAGACAAAATGATATTGTATCCACTTCGATAAAATGAAATAATTTCTACGAAATCCACTTTTGTTCAGAAATGATCAGCTTTATTAGATAGAGTTACTCTCCGAACGCCCCTTAATTCGTCTTTAGTAAGTTCCCTCGGTAAGTTAGACCAAATGAAGAAACTAATAAAGGACTTCTTGAACTGTTTCGTCACGGATGACTCCATGTTATCAATAGAATTAGATCTAGGTGAGACAAAAATGCTGCTCCAAGGATATCTACCCACAACGAGACATTTTCGAATTTGACTAACAGACTATGGGTAGATATCCTTTCTGTTTTTTTGTAGGACTAATTTCATTGTTTCAAACAAAGGATCTATCTGAATCTTACGTTAACAGAGGCATCATTATTTTCTCATCTTATTCCTGAACAATAAAGTGTATATCGTTTCTCCATTTTTGACTGTCTTTTACTATTTTTTTAGACTTGATTTTCTCATATTAATCAGCATACATTAAAAGATTATTGTGTTGAATTCAGAAAAAGATACGAATGTGTCCGTCGTGCGGCTACAAAGTAATACCTTTTGTTTTGGCTATAATCTCGTTTTTTTGAATTGATTCTCGGGACCATTCGTATCTATATTTTCTTTTCACCTAAAGCTTTCTCAGAGCTCATAGAGGGTGCCATTGTCGAACAGAATCAACTGGTTCCATCACCTCTTCTATTCAGCACGCAAGCAAAGGCAGCATTTATCATTGATTGGATTGCATCAATCATTCCTACTTTAATGGTCTTTATGTTGCTCTTTTTCTTCTTCTTGCCTACTGCAGCCTATTTGCCTGTGGTACTTGTGTGAATGATACGATGAAAGGAAAAGATGGTCAAGTAGAAGACGTCTGTTTTTATTACAGACTCATGTGTCTTATGTGTAAAAGTCGACCAAATCATCGTTGTGTTACATTCACCTGCAACTGTCCCTGCTATATAGCTCGGCCAAAACTTCGCTTTCACGTTCGCTTCGCTCTATTTATCTTCTTCGTTATTCTGCGCATTATCGCCATTATTTTGTATGCATCGGATAAGACAGTGCGCGACTTCGGCTACCGAATGGCCACGGTATGTGCTGCATCTGTTCCTCTCATTTTTCTCGCACTTTCTCTAGACTACTATCAATATCGCGTCTGGTGGCACTATCAACCCGATGGCATATACAAGAGATGTCGATGTTGCCGCTGTCGACAACAATTTCATCCCACTCTACAACGATTTTTACCTTATCCATTGCTTGGCATATTCTGTTTGTCGGATATGATATGTAATCGACGATGCAAGTACACAACCACTGAACAATGTCAAAAATTTTCGCTTGAGCACATTGTTATATTTCATGCATTCGATGATATTCCACAGAGACGCTATCAGCAGATCAGGACACAAAATACATTGCCTTTCATCACACTGATTTGGATAGAGCGCTCAGCATCGCCAAGAAAGGTTTTCACGTTAGTACGAGAGAAAATTTAATGCTTGCCCATGGCATCTATTTCGCTCGATCGTTTAAAGCCACTGAAGACAAAGCTTTCTTCAAAGGTGAATGTCAAGTTTATTGAGTACATGAAATAAAATTAGTTACTGATTATGAGAAGATGAAGATTCCAGATTAATTCAATCAACGCTTATAGAAATTATAATTAGATTTTCTTCAATATTGTGAAAATATCTCAGAAGCTACAAAAAATTGACATGATTTTCAGTGAAACCTCTTCATCAGTTTTTTGAGCAATACTACTGCTGTACCAGTTCTCATTTCTGTCACTACTATTGTGAGCATAAGAAATGTCGGATTTTTTCCGACATACAAACACGGAAAAGAAACTCATCAAAAAACATGATGAAATTTTCCCACAAATATCACTAAGCCGGTTTCGTCCTATGCCCTTTCAGGCGAATGTAGCTCTGATCACTTTTCAGAATTCTAATATAAATTAAAATGGCGAGCATGAAATGTTTTTCTTCTTAATATGATTCAAGTCAAAAATTACGAACCAAATTTTTCTGAACACATTGTAAATGAACAAAAAAACCACTCTAGATTTCTATGACATGATTCGAAAGGTTGTCTAGAACTGATCGTGGTCATATTTTATTGACTTTGCAGGCACTGTAGGTTAAAACAAAACATCAGTTCAAAAGCAAGGAAATGCAGCAGCAGGATTTTCTTGCGAAATAATGTTATTCCATTTTGACGTCGATATTTTTGTTTTTAGGTGCTTTAATCTGCACCGAGATCGAGATGAAAAATGTTCTGGTGATAACGAAAAACGAACTGCACTTAATAAGTAATTCAGATGCTTGGTGGGATGACTACGATACCGTTTATCTTCAACATGAAGATGAGGTCTGAGATGAATTTTGTATCAAAGATTCAGCTCAAGTCCTCAAAATGATCATCATTATAAACGACGACCGTATTCATAAATATGGACTTGACACCGAATTTCAAAAGACTCGTTGTGACTGTATTTAAATTATGTAATACATTGACATTATAATTTGCGAAGAGAAAAAATTTACGATTTTATGTATAGGTATCATGTAAAGTTTGATTTGTCATTGAAACTTGTTTGGTGTGGATGTTGAAATTCGCTTGACGTACACTCACCCTTTTCTTGTAATGCTTTTCAATAGACTGCAAATTGATTAAAATCTTTTTATAATTTTTGTCTACACAATGAATCTTATGATAATCAATATCATATGAACTTCAACTGAGAGTTTTTCTTACAAGAAATCTCACGTTGAATTCAGTACTTTCTTTATCTTCGTTTGTAAATTACATTCTATATTGACAATGGATAAAAACATGCTGAAAATTTTCTACATTCTTATTGATATAATATTTAGTAAAACGAATACATCTTAACAATGGAACATCAGCTAGTAATACGATAGTATCTTCATGAGAATTTTTTAAGTACGAAGAGAAACCATAAGAATCTATGATGTAGTTAAATAGATTTTGACCAATTGAAGTAAGAATTGAAAAATGAACTTTTAGAAACTGTGAAAAAAAGTTCTTTTTCATCAACTGTTAGAATTTTGGCAAGATCTTTATACATTGATTCTTATGTATGATGTGTATTTGAATGAAAACCTCATGAAAGTTTGTCTTTTTATTTTAGATAAAAAAAAAAGAATGAGTAGAATAATTAATGGTCATCTGAATAATAGATAAAAGAAAGATCAAAGTATAATGACAAATGCATTTACGATAGTTTTGTCATAAAATCTCGCAAACAAGAAATAAACAGAATATAAAACTAGAATAATATATTTAATATGCATTAGTCTTTCATTGCTTCTATTTCCATTCTAAAAAAACATATTTACATTAATAAAAGTCTTGTTTCTTACACATTCATTCACAGGTACTGTTTCTTTGTATAAAGAATAAAGACAAAAAAGTTGTTTGTTTTGAATTTCAATTAGAGAAGAAAAAAATTATTATGAATTCATATTTGATATATTGAATAATTTTCATTTGAACAACTTATAAAAATTCAAACAAAAATTCTTTGAATTTACGTTTTATTAGTGGAAAATATATGAAATTTAATTGTAATTGACAAAAAGAAAATTATATCTTTTGCCAATCCTATAAAGGAGTCTATTGTATGTAAACAATGGATGTAAAAAATAACAAAGATAACTGAAATAATTCTTTTCTTTTTATCATCTTACGCTTTATGTGAGCATCAACCATTGTTAAAATCATGTCACATTGTGAAATGCCAATCGAACAACTATTTGAACTTCCATGTGGACTTAAACTATCGAACAGAATTATTAAAACAGCAATGGAAGAATCACTTGGTAGTGGTGATAATCAACCGAATGAATATATATATCGTCTTTATGAACGTTGGGCAAAAGGTTCTTTTGGTTTTCTCTTAACGGGTAATGTTCAAGTCGACGAACGTCATCGTGGCTTAATGACAGATTTAATGATCTCGAGTAAAGATAAGATTGATATTGAAAAATGGAAACGATATGCTGATGTTTGTCAAAGTTATGGTACGCCAACTATTGTTCAAATAAATCATGCAGGTCGACAATCACCTTTTGGAAAAAGACCATACAGACAACCGACAATTGCACCTAGTAGAATTGCAATGTCCATTGGTAATAATATTTTTGCACGAACATTACAATATTTTGTTATTGGTACACCTGAAAAAATGACTCTAGCACAAATAGATGAAGCTGTTGAGAAATTTGCTAATGCAGCTGAAATTATGGCTAAAGTAAATTTTGCTGATGTAGAAATTCATGCTAGTCATGGTTATTTAATTAGTAGTTTTCTATCACCGAAAACAAACGAATAGATGAATATGGAGCAACACCAAAGGATAGAATGAAATTTTTATTTCGAATTATCGATGCTATTAGAGCAGTTGTTCCTTCAAAATTTGCTATTGGTATTAAACTTAATTCAGCTGATTTTAATATTGGTGGATTAACTGAAGATGAAGCACATGAACAAATTCGATGAATTGATGAACATGGTGGTATTGATTTTATTGAAATTTCTGGTGGAACCCACACCCTCCTGCTATGATCGATATTGAATATCAAACTCGATTAGAACGTACACGTAAGCGAGAAGCTTATTTTATTGAATTTGCTGCAAAAATTCGTAATACTACTAGAATTCCTCTTATTGTCACTGGTGGATTTCGTACTCGTGAAGGAATGAATGATGCTATTTGTTCGAATGCATGTGATTTTATTGGTATTGCTCGACCTACTTGTCTTCAATTTAATCTTCCTGAAATCCTATTTGATAAAAATATTTCAGATAAAGAGGCACGAGCTCTTTCATATAATATTCGAGGAACAAAAATTTTCAATCTATTACCTATAACAAGTATTGGCTCAGGTATTAATACATTATGGCATTATTGGCAAATGCATCGAGTAGCTATTGAAAATTAAGAACCAGATCCTTATCTTACTGTACATGGTAAAATATTTATGATTATCTTTAATATATTAAAGAAATTAAGTTTATCAATTATCTTATTCTTTACTATTTTATGCATTTTCTTTTTTTGTTAAACAAATTTTTCTTTTTTGAAAAAAAAAGCTTATGACTTTTTTTTCTTCAGATTTGACATTGTTATAAAGAAAATGTCTAATTATATGATCAAGTCTATCTAGAGAATTTAATCACATATGACATTTCGAATATTTTCACAAGACTAACTCAAAACGTATGATTATGATGATGTATTTTGCCATCTATAGATATACTTATAGAAAAGACAAATATTTTTGTTTGCAAAAGAAAAAAAAAATCTAAATATTAATATCAATTGAATAATTTTTCTTTAAAGTCAAGAATAATAAGAAAATCAATCGAAAATATCTGCATAGTTTTGATCAAAATCTTTATCGATGATTTATTTGATTTAATTAATTTTGATAGTTGACAGTTTTATATATCAAAATTTGCATGTCAAATTTCTTCCTGTATGTGAGAATAAGAAAATCAAAAAACATAAAATAAATTATCATTTTCTAACAAAAGCATTTATATTCAATAAAAAAATAAAAAAAAAAATTTTGTACCTAAGAACTCATTTTGTAAAACACATCAAGTAACATGTCATATGTAATATAAATGAAATATTAAATGAACAATTCTTATTATATTTGTCATCTAGAAAAAAGATATAAAGAACATAAATCGTCTCTTGTAAGATTATGTTACATATTTAAAACTTTTATGAAAATAATTCATACGACTAATTCAATTTATATTTGGATGACTAGACAGTTCGAATGTTCTTTGATGAGTTTTTATTGTTCGATATTTTTCTCATAATATTTAACTAATACTTAATTATTAATAATATTTTCACTATGAATATATTTTTTCTTCTTAAAAGAGGAAAAAAACAATCTATTAATAACAGTTCACATGAAATTTTGATGATAAAAAAACATCAACATGTATAGAATCTATATGTAATAGATAAGATTGTTAGTTTTCTTTTACATGGTTGTCCTTACATGTAACAATTGGTCCTTGGATAGTAGTGGGTATGATGAATAAAACATAGAAATATTGATCATTGGTCTTCAATAGATATGAAATAAAAGCGTAACATCAATGATTAATTCTTTCTTCTGTTGTCATCCATTATCAATACAATTCAGTTATTGTATAACAAATTATACGTGATATTTTGGTAATACATTTACTTTTGTCTTTACTATAATTTTCTTATCTGTTTATTGTCTATTATCTTAGAATATACTACTAGTCATTTTCTTTAGCCAAAAGATCATTTACATATTACATTTTGAATCCTTCAGATACATGTAGAATGTTTATATACAACAAAAAAAAAAGAACAAATGAGCACATATAAAAGGACAAACAGAACATCTGTGGTAATCTAACCGTAACTTTGTCCTTGGTAATTAGTCGTGAATTTTAATTAATAATGAAGTTTAAAAAAGAAAACCTTACGTGTTTGATAATAGAATAAGCTATTGCTATTAATTTTATTCTTTTTCTTTTTTTTTTCTCTACTTATAAATTATTCATTAAATTAAGACTTATCTATCATAGAAACGATATTATGGATTATCCATAAAATATATTTGATTTTTAAGGACATATTTAATCTGACTTCTTTCTGTGCTAGGTCATTAAATTAAATGATCTATTTTATAAGCAAGGTAAAATCAGTTAAATTTTCAATAAAAAATGATAAATCATTCGTATCTCTAGTGTTTGATTTTTATTAATAAAAATATATTTTTATAGCAATGAAACTAAAACTCATAATATTAACAATGACGAAAATTTTCACTTGTTTTTATCTTTTCTATGTTGTAAATCAGAGAGAAAAAGAAGTCATAGTAGGGAAAAAAAGAAAGAAAGTATGTTAACTCTTTTCTCTTTCTTATTATTGTACGATCCCTGATTGAAGCAATACTTTCTCACTCTATTGTTTATCATTGTAGAGCCAAGCGTTAAAGAAAAAAAAGAAAACTTTTTTTTTTTCTTCTTGAAAAATCCTTTTCTCATTAGATTATTGACAGTGAATATTAACGACAAAGACCATTAACCAATTCTTTATATCCAAAAAGGAAAAAAAAAAACAACAACAAATCAACATAATAGCTATGCACGTAAGTATTCTGAGTGAAGATTTTATTATTGTTCTAATAAGTATTTAGAAATTAGATATATATCATTAAACAGAAAAAATTATTTGAATTTGTTCATGTTGAAAATTGCTTCCGATGAATTCTTCTAATTTTCTTTATTTCTATTATTTTATGGAAAATAGAATCACAGGAAGAAAAAAAAAGACAAAAGAATTCTACATTTCGATTTTCTTTTCGAATAAAATCTTTTGTTTTTCACAAATCGTTAAAAAAATTAGTTCCTATAGAATAGTGTATTTGTTCACGATAATAGAAAAAAACTAACTTAGTAATAACGGTACTACAAAAAAAAAAAGGATTGAACAAAAACAAAAAGATTTGACTTCAACTTCGTTTGTCATTATTCATACCCTAAAGACTTCTAGTTGCGTGCGTGTGTACGCCGTTCTCTATAGTTATAACGCTTGTAATACAATATAGAACTCGAATAAAAAAAAGGTCTAACTTCTGATGAACACATGAATTTCTGTTACTCCCTGTTGATTAGTAATAAGTTCGAGACATAATAGCAAGAAACATGTGTTATTGAATTTAATTCACTTGTTAATATGTCGAATTTGTTAGATCGTTTCTTTCTATTTATTTGATTGAACTATTGTCATTGTAATTTTCATACTTATATATACTATTCATCTATCTTAATATTAAAAAAAAAATATTCTATTTTAAAATTTTAAAAATATGTATTACAAATGAGAAACTGATTATTTTTCTATCTAGCAAACAAAAAAAAAGAAAAAGAAATGATCATTTTACGAAAGAATAAATAATGATATTATTAAAAAAATTTGTAGATAAATAGAATTTCAAAGGAAAAATTTTCTTTCATCATTCATGTAAATATACATACTTATCTATTCAAACAAAATTAATATTAAAGAATTTTTATTGTTATGTTTTTTTTTGAAACCAAATAATTTTTTATGAACGAGACAAGAACAAAAAAAACGTTCACGATTTTATATATCAAACGAAATATTCTAAGGAATGAATGTTATTTTTTTTTTCTTTTGATTCAGCCAATTACTTGTTCTTTTATTTGATTTTTACTCAACTTCATATCTCATAAGTACATGAGTTCTTTTCTTCGTGTATTCTATTAATATTCAATTTAATCTTTTCCAGATTTTATTCTTTCGTTATCATTAATTAAGATATTATAATAGATTAGTACATACAGAGATATGATAAATATTTGCTCATCAGGAAGCTATCGATATAATAATACAACGAAGAGAATTCTTATCTGATATGCATCAAAAATAATAGCAGATCATGCTGAATTATAGAGAAAAAGAAAAGAATTTATCTGATACAAGTTCCAAAGGTCTTTAGTTTCCATTACTATTAACCCTACTTTTAATCGAAACATACCCGGAAACAATTAAGATAGGGCATTACCTGGATTGAGTTTAGATGACATTAGGTGGCAGGAATAGACTTCAAGTAGTTTCAAAAGCTTCATATGAATTCAATTCCGGAGGCTCTATTATTTTTTTTTTATGCTGACATTATTGAAAGTTAATTTCAATTTATATTTTTTATAAAACGAAGAATACATTTGAAAAGATCAATAGTTACTTAAAAAAATTTTCAATTCATCATCTTGATAAGTATTTCCGTTCTTGAATAAAAAAATAAAAAAAAACAAAGAAAAACTTTTGACTCGTTTTTCTTTTCTATTCCATTAGCCAATCGTATAAAAAAAAAAGAGGAAGATTTTATTTACCTTTTAAATGAGAGCGAAAAATAGAAGATAGAATTATTCTAACATATATATATTCTTCAATGATAAAAATAAAAAAGAAAACTCGTCGCCATTGTAGAAATAATTTAGGATCAACACGGCAACCAAATATTTCAATTTCTAGTGCTTTTTAAAGCAAAAAAAAACAGAAGTAAATATGTATTTTAAAACTATTAAGATACATTTCTTCGTATTCTTTTTTATATAGTTTTTAGGACATAAATACAAGTAATTTATATCTAAAATCTATTTGAAATTCAAAAAAAGAAACCGTTAAATTTTAAATCATTACGTTTTTTATTAACTTTCAAGTAACTAAATTGTCAAAAAGAAATCATAAGATAGAATTTATCAAGAAATCTTTTAACATGTTAAAGTATAAGATAGTCATCCTATCGAAAAATTCTAATTTGCATTTAGAGTGTTGTGTCTAATGCCAATAGTGCTTCTTTTTTTTTTTTTTTTTTTTTCTTATTTTTATTTACATACAAAAAGACAATCTAAATTCATTCTTGTTTTTCTTTACAACATACAATACTGTAACAATATTCAAAACTATCCTTCGAAAAGTTTTTCTTTTCTATATCAAATCTATTCATTGCAAAGAAGGTAAGGTGGAAATTAAATTACGAAAAAGATATATATATATATATATATTGTCAACACGCAATGTCATCAATAGAATAAAAACCAATCTCTCTTTTTTCTTTATGCAGATAAGTCGAGAAATAGCTAATACATCTTCGTCATTCATTTGTCTATTATAGTATCAGTTTGTTGAGATTATAACTATTATTATGATTATTATTATAATTCAACTTGTCATCATTTATTTAACAAAAAAAAGATAAGAATCATAGAACGACTGAAATTCAGCCAAGGTATGAGCATATGTTATATGTATTTTTATCTATTTGCACGATTTCCTTTTAACACTTTGCGAACAGTGACATAGTGCTAATTTGATGCACTGTGCGATATGGAAAGGAAAAGAAGAAGTAGAGTGGAAGAAAAAAAATGAGATTTGTTTTTTTTCCTGTGTCGCTTTGAAAAGATTATACGTCATTTTTGTGTCTGAAACGTTGATAATATGATGGCTGATAGGACTAAAAAGGTTTGTATGCTAAACAAAAAAACATATATATTTTCCAAGAAAAAAAAAAACTTGAATATTAATTTTGATTGTACGTATGGATATGTTTTTTTCACAGGTTACATATCGAGAACACGAGTCACCTTTGACTCTTAAAAGTTCTGTTGATTACTCTTTCATTGTTCTTTTGATTGACAATGTCGGTAGTCAACGAAGATGTCCTCTGGCTTGAACCACTCCTCATCGATAATGATATTGAAACAATGAAAACAACATTAGCTTATCAAATAGGATCATTTTCATCATTACCATCATCAAATATTTCCTCTTCATACTTGCCCATTGTCACTAATTCATCATCTATGACTACAGTACTTTCTAATGACCAACGTTTCCTTATATTGAAATGGTCTGTACGTATTATTGGTTGTTTATTAATAATTGTTGGTGGCATTGGAAATACACTTTCTGCTTTAACACTTAGTCGTAAAAAATTACGAACACAAGTTACATCAATTTATCTTATTGCTTTAGCATTATCTGATCTCGGTAAGGACATGTGTAGGATATTTATAGATATAATTATTGTATGATTTTTCTTTTTTTAAAGGTAATGTTTTCTTTAGCGTATTAAACTTTTATCTAGTCCGAATTGATCCCAATCGAAATATGCGTTTATATAGCAATTTAGCTTGTAAATTCCATATATTTTTCACTTATTATTTTATTAATTTATCTCCAACATTACTTGTTGCTGTTAGTGTTCAACGTTATCTTGCTATAGCAAAACATCATTACGCAAAAAAACATTGTACTGTTAAAACTGCTTATATTGTTATTGGTTTAATTTGTTTAATATCTTTTTTTATTGAATTACATTGGGGTATATTTTATGAACTTCAAATGGTTCCTGTTAAACATCCTTTAGCATCTTCAAATCGTACTATATCATATCGACGTGTATGCAATACATCATTAAATCATCCAACTTATTTAAAATTTCGTTCAAATATATTAGGTTATATTCAATGGTTTTTATTTACATTATGTCCATTTATAATCATGTTAATTCTTAATTCATTAATATTAAATGTAATTGCATCAGCACGTCGTATACAACAACATACAAATCAAAAAAATCAACGTAAAAAAGTTAAACAACGTAATTTAACAATAATGCTTTTATCTGTTTCATGTGTATTTATATTATTAACAGCACCAGCATCAACATTTATGGCATTTGGACATTTATTTAAAAATTTACATGGACGTAATTCACAATCATTATGGACAATGTTTTCATTAATTTATTATACAAATACAGCAGCAAATTTTTTACTTTATTTTTTAACAGCTAATGTTTTTCGACAAGAACTTCGTGTTATGATATCATCATTACCTGGATGTTCAAAAATATTACCTGAACAATTTCAAATACTACCAAATCATACGAATATAAGTGGAGGAGTTAAATTAATACAAACAGGAAAAATACCAATGACAACTAATCCAGTAATTACATCGGCAACAATACTATGTGACGATGAAAATATCAATGGAATTAATCGAAAGTATGCTGTAAATAATTTATTAACAATTAATTCAAATAATCGTTTCTTGAATGTAACTAATACTATAAATGATAATGGTGGAATTTCCGATGATGAAAGTTCTCGATTATAATATTTAGACAGTGGTAGATTTAGAATTAGAACACTACGGACGATCATTCTTTCATTCCGAAGAAATTTTTCGATTTTTATCAACCGCAAAATCTTAAAAAAACAATATGTTGATACAATCTCTAATTTGATTTGAGCATACGTATTGTATGTGCGTGACTATGATCGCTTCTATTCTTATATCAAAATTCTAGATCTACCACTGTATTTAGATATTAAATATTATAATTTGTATAAATAATTTTTGTTTGAATAAAATTTCATTTGTTTTGTTGCTCATTTTTATTGTTTGAAAAGAATATAAAATAAACTTATATCAATATTAGATAATTAAAAAAAAACAGAAAAAAAAATTTTTTTCGATGTACAAATAGTTTCAATAAATTGAAACAATTTGATTTTATTTTCTGCTGGATCTCATAGTTATCCGAAGAAGACATTGTAAAGAAAAAAGAATTAAAGTACATCATATTGAGTTAACATAGGAAAGTAAATACATGAAAAAAAAAAATACTCATACGTAGGACTATTCCATTCGTTAGCCAAAGAATATTATCTGTCAAATATTTAATCATACATCTATCATCTTTACATACATACCACTTAGAAAACATCGCGATAAGAACGGCAATTGATGAAGAAAAACTTATGGGTGGAAATCAGTTATAAGAGCGACCGGAAAACATTTACAGTAGATATTAAAAGTCAACAAGCTTAGCATTGGTTACCATTTGAGGAATTGTTGAAAATGTAACAGCACCTTTTTGGAACCAAACCATTTTTTTCTATTACAAGTCATTAGAATTAAAATTATGAGCTGAAAGTTCCTTGCTCTTCGCCTAGTAAAGATATAAATTATTGAGTACAGTGTATTCATCTATGATAATTAGTAACAAGGAAGTCCAAGCGATTTAAATCGTAATCATCACCGCATAAAATTTTCTAGGAATACAATAATACGGACTTACAATAAAAAGTTATTTTAGGTGAATCATTTCATAATCAATCAACAAGTTTACCTTTTCTCAGGGCAAACAGTATACTTTATTCTTTTCTATTTTTATTGTAAGTTTATAGACTTATTACAATATGTCATTTAAAATATGACAAGAACAGAAAACTACATCAAAATACTAATTACGTTGTTTATTTTAATTTACTTATTGTAATTGAACTTCAATCATTTCTATAGAAGATATCTGTTCCATCTACGTGTTTAATACATTTACGGAATTCTCTCTGTCAGAACTTCTCAGAAAATTGAACGATTCATTTATATTTTATATTCAACTATGTGTTTTTTCATAGTTATCATATTGCTGATATAGTTCAGAAATTATTATTTACTTCATAAATAAATAAAAAATTTTCATTGTTAAAAAATAAAAATAAAATTAATGTTTATTATTCTTTTCATTTGCTTTTTGCTTAGCACATAATAAATTACAATTAAAGACAAAAAAAAAATACATCTTTTTCACATTGACAAATAAGAAGAAAAAAAAAATTAAACCTTTTGTCGTATATTTGGTAAATAAAAGTTAATTATATTCGATGATGATTGTTCTTTTTCGTAGCCTGATAAAGGTGCTGCTCGTGATCGTTCAATATTATTCGAAAGAACTTTAAAATATCGTATACTTGATACTTGAGAGCTATAAAAAAAAAAAAATTCTTATAAATTTTCAAAGAAATGACATCAACACATATTCTTGCGATTGTATCTTGAAGAATAATTTTCTCGATCGAAGAAAAACGGCTCCGTAAAACAATATAAAATGACATCATTATGTTGCCGTTTTCCGTAAACTTAATAAAATAGTGAAGAGCGTAGGAGAAACAGTAATTATTTACTAGCAAAAATGTAAGTTGACGGACTACGACAAAATACAGTGAAAATTACTGTAATAATATACCATTTCATGTTGTCTGAGACGCCATTTCCGATAATCAAAAATGTTTGCCCTTATTAAGTACAATATAGAAGTGAATATTTCGAAATACTAACCGTAATTTAGGTAATTTCAATGTATGATATCGATCCCATTCGTCTATCAAGTGTATTGAAAGACGTGGAGGTAGACCAGGTAAACAATTGTATACTTTCAAAAATGCCATAATATCTGGTTCAATTTTGCATCTATTTTTTATATTAATGATAATAAAATATTAATTAAAAGTAAATATTTATTTTTATAAATACCTATTCAGTAATTTTCTTCGACCTTCTGGTATATGAGATAAAAATCCAAGTGCAACAGATGCATTACCAATAGTTGTATCGTTGGTTGATGAAAATAAATTACATAAATAATCTATTACATTTACAGCAATCAAAGCTTGTGGTACACCTAAAAAACAATAAATTTCAAAATTAGAACAAAAATTAAGAAAGATTTATTAAAAACTTTACGAAGAAGAAGAAGAAGAAGAAGTATAAGGGTAACTAAGAATGGTAATATAATACCAAAAGGAGAAGATGCTAACAAATTTACCTGTGTGCTTATGCACATCTGATGCTATAATCAAATAATTTTTTTTTTAAAAATAATCTAATTTTTTTTTATTTTGATGATTTACCTGATTTCATATGTGCAAGTCGAGCAACACATTCTGCAGTTGCTGATTTCGCATCATCTATTTGAGATGTTCGAAGTATATCCATAAGAATTCCACATCCAATAGCTGTATTAACTGATTGTTTTTGTTCATTTATTAAACCACAAAAAACAACAATCTAAATAATATTTTTTTTAATTTAATATTGATTAAAAAATTAATAATTTATCTATTAATAAACAAACTTGAAATGCAGCTATACATCTTATAGATTCATTATTATTATGAAGAAATTTTTGAAAATAATCAAATGAAAATTTATATTGTTTTTTAAGAAATAATTGTATACGTGAATTATTATATACAAATGTAGCTAAAGCATTTGATGCTTTTAATTGTACATTTATATCATTTGAATGCATTAAATCAATTAGATGTGAATAAGAAAAATCTAAGGTATTTTCAATTAATGTTGAACATTGATTATTATCTATTAAAAAAAAAAAAAAACTAAAATGATGACATTTCATATGATATACATAATCATACATACTCAATGCAATACAAGCTAAAGATTGAGCTGATTCAACTTGAATTATTTCACTTTTAGCATGCATCATTAAAGCCACAAGTAATTTAATACCATCATTTTTAAGTATAATTTCTTGATTTTTTCTATTAGAAACAAAACCAGGAGCACATGTTATTAATTGTAAATTTTTTAAAACACTTAAAACAAGCATTTCATTATCAGATTTAAGTAGACGAATAACATATGGTATACCTTGTGCATGATTTATTTCTTCTTGAATATTCATATTAATACTTGCTGTACATTTAGCTAATTCATTAATGGCATCTGTTACAACTAATAAATGTTCATCAGATTTAATTGTATAAAAACTAATTAATTTTCTAATACCAATTTTTGTTGCTACATCACGTTTTTGTAATGAATTATTTGAACATAATGTCCATAATGTACAAACAATAGCTACTTGTAATGTTGACATATTTGTTTTTTCTAATAAATTTAATAATTGTTCAAGAGCATTTTCACGTAATAAAATTTCTTGAACTTTTTGATTTTTATGACTTAATGCTTGTATAGCTTCAATAGATACTTGTTGTAATTCTTTTGATGATGTTGATAATGCACCAAGTAAATGTTCACATGCACCATAATGTGCAAGAATATTTTGAAGTTCTTCATTATTTTTAACTAATTGACGTATAAAACGTATAACAGATAATGATAAATTTAAATCATAATCTTGTAAATAAGTACGTACAATTAATAAAAGAAAATTTTTTGAATAAATAAATTTCCGTTGATATTCAAAAGATTTTCCAATCACATTTGCTAAACAATCAAAATATGGATAAATAATTTGTGGTGTACGTTGTTTATCAATAAGTATCATTAATGTTTCAATAAGTCCTTGTTCAACCATGGAATCAATTAATGTTTTCTCTGTACTAAGACATGATAAAACTCGTCCTAATAATGTAAGAATTTGAGTATTTGTTGAACGTGTATGTTTTAACATTGAACTAAAACAATTTTTTATATTATCTAAATCATTTTTTATTTGTGGTACTTCATTTAAAACATTTAGAAATAATATAAATGCACTTGTAAGTACATCATCATTTTTTGATAAACTAAATATTTGTATTAATGTTGATAATAGACCATTTTCAATCATTGGTAACCAATATGAATTTTTTTGAGAATTATCTGATTCATGACGTGTTAATAATTCAAGTATACGACCACCTATTGTACTTTCATCATCTTTTACAGATAAAAATAATTTAAATAAAGGCTTCCAAACATTATATTCAGTTGATGATATAGGTAGATCAATTATGTAACGAAGTGTACGTTCATTTTGTGATAGAGCAGCTATTGCAGCCATACCTTTTTTTTTTTGAAAAAAAAAATATAAACTTGTCTTATTCTTTGTATTAATAAATATTCGCGTTAGAAATCAAGTCTATTTGAACATCAAGATATTTATTTTATGATTAAATTTTGTTAGCTATGAGAGCAAAAAAAAAACTATTACATCTATTAAACATTTATTTATTTTATAAGATGCATATGATGTGATTCTGACTGATTATGCTCACTTGTCATTGAAATAAGTCGAGTACTTCAACGACAGAATAATCTTTCTTTTTATAAATTATTTGTCTTACTAAATGAAAACATTTTCTTTGCAGTTACATTCTTTAAAATAGAATATAAAGGTTTCAGTTGAATTTCTCTATAAAATAGTTCCAATTGTATATAATGATCATCTTTTTTCTTATGTTATGATTAATATCTATGTCAACGGCATAGTATCTTGATTTGTCTATTACATCGTTTAATTGTTCAAGATTTTGATAGACATGTGAACAGTTTTTTTTTCAAGGAATTTTGAATCATCGAATTGATCATTTTGAAATATGAATTTCATTATCTAAAAATCTAAGTGAATATGTCGATGTGCTTGTCATAATCTGTGTAGAGTCGAGACATAACTTTCTAACACTATACTTGAATACTCATTAACAGTTATGTTTTACAAAAATCGATCTATCGACGATGAAATACAAATAACAAATTGTATTCAAAATGTTTTTGTTTTTATTAGAAAAATTAATCGAAATAAATATCTAATTGTTCTCAATCAATTATGATGATTTGTGCGGTTTTAAACAATAATATAAAAATATGTTTCTCAAGTCAATTGATGCTGTTCTAACAAAGGAAGTCATCAAACTAATAAATCATTTGTGAATCGAGACTATATGCATTATGCAAATCAAAATGAACCATGAACACCATGACAAGAGTTCAAACTCTGAACTTATTGCCGGTAAAATACTGAACTTTTATCGTACACTTTCAATAAATGCTGTGGCTAGCATTAGGAGCATCAAGCGAACTCCGACTCAAAACTTTGCATACAAACAGATCTTAACGAGAATAGTTGTTTTTTTAAATGATGCAGATCTTATCGCTATTCCTCTATCATAAGATAGAATTATGGTAATAGCTTGTCTTTTACATCATTCATACAAACCAACAAATTCGATGTTCCTATTTCAGGATAAAAGTAAATCGAAAGACTTAAAATTATTCTCGTCAAGTCGAAATTCGAAAATCAATTCTTCTGGTGTTTCTAAGGCATTCATTTAAATAATATTGTAAGAATACAACACATTCTTAGCAATAAGATAAGGCGCTCTAAACTTCTTTCAAGGCATTCATAGTTCATTGAAGTCTATATGATTCACATAGTTTCGACACAAATGTCATTTATCAGTTGGAGAACTTCCGATATAGATTGAAATCAGATATTATGTTTCTTTACGTATGTGTCTATAAATATTACGTGATTTACAAATGTTCAATATGTATCAATTGATCTATTTCAACAGTTCATTTGATAGAAAATGATCTATTTAAACAGCTCGCTTTTGGTAAATAATAAATGATGCAAAAGTTTTCGAAAACATATCAAGATTATTTTCTTAGCTGTGCAAGAATATTTATTTTTAATTTACAATTTTCAGTAAAATAATATTCCAACAAAAAAGTTGTACCATCAAGAAAAGGAACATAACCAAAACTCAATGACCAAGGGATGATGTGTAAAGTTTGAAAAATTCTATTCGTGAGTAATTTTGATTCGAACTTTGCAATTGACGATATCGCAAATTATTCGATGAATAATTCGGAAAAACTAAGCTATTAAAAAAATTGTAACCGTAGCTTTGTTTTGAAATTTTATTATGATAAATCGAAAGTAAAAATTTTAACTGTATTTACCTATTTTAGCCATCAGCATATCCACTTTCAAACACAAAGAACCCTCAGCTAGATTTAATGTTCGACTGAGAAGAAATTTATCATGTCGTTAATTTCAAATATCTTTGCATGGCTTATATAAAATGAAAATTAAGTGAATTTGTTTCATTTTTCAGTTCATGGGATAATATTTGTTGACAAATTATTCATTACAAAAATGATTCATATACACTATTCAATTTGTTCTGTTCGAAATAAATTCAATCTAAATTTTCCTATTAAAGATTTTGATGGGAATAGACAACAAAATTTCCTTTTTTTTTTCTTCGAATATGTTTTTTAATAATTTATTTGACATATTTTTGAATAAATAAAATATCTATTATGAATTCACAATAATAATTTATGTAAAATTACTAAAAGAAAAGATGATAAACAAGAGAATTGTATTATATAGTGTAATGCCTAACTTTTATCGATTCATTAGAATAATCTGCTATTTATTAGAAAAATGTTCACAAGTCATGATAGAAAGCAATGAATTTTTCAAAAGTGTTTTTTGAAAATCCAGAGGAATTTGTGAAGTTTTAGTACCTAAAGACTTGGTCTTTGAATAAAAAAAATTTTTGAAATTAAAATTAATTTTTTACTCATAAGATCCTTTGTTTGACAGTACTTTGAATAATAGAAAAGTTTTTCAAAAATTCTCTGTTTTTTAAGTAAATGTTAATAAATAAAAAAAACTAGTCCGCAATAGAAATTCATCTTCCGAAGAGCGCTATGAATTTTCATAACAGCAAGCCATGATCTTTTATTCTGTGGCGAAAAACTTAATCATGCGTGAAAGATGTCGCTAAACATGAACATTCTTCTATAACCCTGTAAAAGTATTCAATGAAAAACATAATAACATATTTGTACGAATATTCTTTATTCTATTATTCTACTTTACATACGTCTACTTATAGATCGAATTCTTTTTCATAGTTATCCTGCTTACGAATATTTATAAATATAAATGTTATAGTTTTAAGTTAACTACAGAGTAGAATAGAACTATTTAATTATGAAGACAAATTAAATTTTCATATTTTTTTTAAAAATCTTTGATAATTACCGTGTCCATTAGCATCAACTGCATTAAAATCTACCGGATATGTTAAAAAATAAGCAATTATATCTAATCGTCCAGCTGCAGTAGCTAAAAGTAATGGTGTTAATTCATTAATATCATGTGTTCTTGCTTCAAGTTGTTGCGTAAGTTCATTTCGTCTTTGAGCTTCATCTAAGATATTTTTAATTGTTACTTCATGTCCATTAAAAGCTGCTCGATGAATAGGTAAATATCCATTATCATCATAAATATGTATTTTAATTGGTTCATCATTTGTCTCAATAATTTGTGGTGTTGGTGATGGTTCCATTGATTCTTTTTGGACTATAGTATAAGACAAAAATGAATAATTAAATAAAATTAACGAATCGTATAATTAATTTTTACTTGATAACAAGAATTATTCTTCGCGTAGAAAAAGAAAATGACAAGTTGTCAAAACAACTGATTGTTAGTAAAAGAAAGGAAAAAGTTTATGTTGCTATCTCAATTTCTTTTTTTTTCTTTATGTAGACGGAAATAAAAATTAGAAAAAAAAGCGAGAGAATGTGACGAGTTGATGAAAAACATGCGAACCGGATGTGTATTTTTTTTTTCGAGATCTTTCTTTTTCTTCCTTTCTTCGGTATTTTTTTTTGAATATAAATATGGCAAATGAAGAGAATCAAGAAAATCATTTACTTATTTATGATGTTGATGTGAAAAAAAATAATAAACTTGAAAGCATACATCAAAACAAAATAAGCTACTTGATGAGTATTAAAATTATTCCTACAAAACTTAAAATTAATGCTAATATCTTTGCTTTTGTATCTGTTCAGTCACTCGAGGTCCACTTGTGTTTGTGATGACATTTTTTAAAGCATATTGATAATAACAAAAAAAATTGATCAAATATAATTAAATGTACCTATTATTTTATATATTTTAAGCGCCCGGAACGGCTAATTACGAGAATGATCAACACTGGAACAATAAACACGCAAAATATTAAGGTAAATATGAAGTCTATTTAAAGATTAATTTAATGTATATTTTGAAAGTGTGAATTGTGGGCGAAGGGTTTTTCTTGATTTAAAGTCACATCCACATCTTAGACTTATAAATTTATATTAATCTTTCAATAGACTTCAGATTTACGTTCATTTTTTTGCGTGCTTAACTTGTCGGTGTTCAACATTCTCCTACTGAACTTTCTACGTTCTTATCGTTCACCAGTATGCTCAATGAAAAACAAAACTAACTTAAAAATAACTGATTTTATTTCATAGGAAAGCATTTAATGAAAACAGCGTACCGCTTATCAACAATATGTTTTATGTCTTTACTGAAAGCCAAAAGTTAAGATGATACTATGTATTTTTATGTATCTTAAATAATTTATTCAAAAAATTTGGTCACATAAAAAATTTCTTGTCTTTTTGGTTACCGAAGAGAGTATAATGGATTCAGATGAGAGTTTTACCATGGATAGACTATTTACAATAAGGAGATATGTCTTTGAGAAAAAAAATTTAAAGAAGTTTGTTTTCAGATAAAAACCTGATTTTTCATAGAACTACATTAGGTCCACTGATAATTGTCTCTAAGTTTGTCTGCTTGGACTAAAAATTTTCTTTTGAAATACTTTCGATTAAATATTGAAGGTGGTTTTAAGCTTTTTAAATAGTTTTCTTATGTTTTTTTTAATGTTAGGAGAAATATGCATAGATTCGAAACCAAAATCGGATTGTTGGTGTTCAGAACTCAATAAATCTGAATAGGCAGATAAAAAAGGAAAACATCTGATCTCACCTCTTAAGAATATCTCCAAGTATGTATGATAAAAATTTCAACCTGATCGGACAACGTTTGATGGAATTGCTAGCGATTCCCATGTGTTTCTATGAAAAACTGCGAAAATTTTGTTAAAAATTTCAGACGGTCAGGTTGTACCTACTCTAAGAAGCATCATTGACCAAAAAAGAATGTAGTCACTTTAAGCAGATTCATGATAAACAAATTTTGTATCAGTGTCCTCTTGTAATAATCAGAATCGAAAAATAACAACGAAGTAATAAATTACTTCATTTACTCGATATTCTTATGCAGTTTATGTTGAATATTTTTGAACATGTAATAAAGGTTTCAAAAGGTACTATAACTGAAAAAAGCTGTCAAATGTCAGATAAAATAGACCCAATTCGGGTTTCGAAAATTTGTATTCATGTAGGATTCCAAAAAAAAACGATACTAAAAATGATGTCATTGGATGTTTACTCTGAAATGATCGTACACATTACACGCAAAAATCAATAAAAATTATGGTACCTTGGTCAAGTAACTTGTGGCCCTGATGAGAATGGATGTGTTTGAAGCGAACAACACGTTCAACATGTATCTTATTCGTGTCACGAGACGTAATGGACTGTGTTCCAACGCGTAACTGGGAGACAAGAGCACCAGATGACGTATACGACAAATGCATATGATTGCATGTCTTCGATAAAGAATATTCCATCACTATCAATGTAAGATTACTTGCAGTTATAAATGCAATCAGCTGCAAAAGAAAAACGAAAACATTTGCCTTTAAATGTGTTTCATAGTTAGTTTGTACTTGTCTGAATGCGTTTTATTCACGAAAATCGTTTGAATATACACAAAAAGTATAAAATTCATTTAGAAAAAAAATTATAATAAACGCATGTCAACGTGTATGAATTCTATTTCAAAATGAGTTGCATTTAAACATCATCATTTGCAACAATAATGCGCATAGAAGCATCTAAACTGCGTTTCATGATTATATGGGTCTTCGTTAGTTTAAACACATTTATATAATGGAGTATGAAAAAATAAAAAAACTTATTTTTGCTTTAACTTTAACTTTGAATTTCATGTTAAAGTTAAAGTAAACACTTTAACTTTGCCTTTCAATAAAAAGTATTTTTAAAGTTAATGTACTCCATTTAATGTATGTTCCACGCAAAAATAGAACATATGTCGTCAGATTTTCATCAAAAACAATAATTCAAATGAATTAATACTTTTTTTTATCAAGTTTTAAATGATTTTTCGATTAAATTAATATTTTTCGTCGTGATGCTATAGATAACTACTCAAAAAAAATGGATTCTATAGAAATTTTCAGCAGTGTTTTTGAACGAAATGTACATAGTCGAGTTCACTATCAAGGTCCTAGTTGTTTTATTTAAACTAGTCACATTTCATCTTTTTAAACGACAAAAACATATTTACAAAACTTTTTAATGTCATCTGATTTTACATATGATGCACAAGCAATTGTAATTGTATACTTTTACAATGGATTTTATGAAATACGAAGTGAATGGAATGCATGCAAGAAAAAGATAATTGCTTTAATTTATTAGTAGCAGTTTTAGAATAAATAACATAGTATTAATAGCAGAGTAAAATTCATTTCAAATCAAATACAAGTTAGAGAATAAACTAAATAACAATAAAATTAGTCATACGAATAGAACGAAACATATTCTACAATAGTAAAGACCTCTATATAAATGTGAAATTTTAACTATCACACTTATATAGAGGTCTTTACTATTGTAAAATATGTTTCGTTCTATTCGTATGACTAATTTTATTGTTATTGAGTTTATTCCCTAAGTTGTATTTGAATTAAGTTCCATCCTTTTCCTGTTTGAAGATGCAACTCAAAGTTACGAAACGAACGCCACTTATTCAAATTAATTGAATTTGAATTGAGTTTTATCTTTGCAGATAAAATTACGGAGTAGATAGGGACTATTCTGAATACTTTTTTAAAAATACCTTTTGAAGCTTCATAATTTTTTTTATTTTTTATGATTTTGAACAAAAAAGACACTAAAAAATAAACTAAAGTATTTTCTATATGTTTATCTAATAAATATTTGTAGAAAAGTCTTTATCATCTATAGTGCTAGAAATTCTACTGTTTGTTCGGAATAGCTCCATAACAGATTATTATGAACACTCCGCCAAAGTGACAGAAAAAATTTAAATTTACTCCAAATCCCTTTAATTATCATAGGAAAATAATGAATTAATAATTATTTTACCCCTAGATAGAGCGTCTTTTATTCTACAATTGGTAAGATCAATGCATCTATATCTTCTATTTTGGCGTAACAATAATCTAATACATCATGGGTAATTAGTAACAAAAAGACATTTTCTTCATAATAATCCCAATGAGACTACTATGAATATAAGGTAGACATAGTAGGACGATTCTGAAAGTTATGCTAAAATGACTATAATGTGTGAATTGTCATGGTAGATCATTTTTCAAGCAAACTTGATATTAGATTGAAAAAATTCTGTAGAAGAATTTGTAGAGGATGCAATTCTGAACAATTTGATGAAAAATTGTGTCATTCGAAAAGACAACTAAAGAATTGTACAACATACATGAAATTACGTTTCTTCATCAGCCCTTTTCTTCTCGGATATTTTGAATTAGTGATACGTAATTTTTCGAAATTCACGAATATATTGATTGGATAAAATTGTACATGTTTTCATATACATTGAAGATTTTTAAAACAATGACAAGTGATAGAAGAGAGATAAAATAAAAAGATTAGAAAACAAATAGTCGAATAAAAATGCATTATCCAAGAAAGCACAGATATAAAAATGTTAGACGACTTAATATCTAAGACGATGAACAATACTTTAACATTACCGTATTTTTAACTTTTTTTTCGACAATGTCAAGCTATTAGCTGAATTCGGATAATGATTTCAATAGCTAATGTTTTTTTTATTTAATGTATTCTATTCTAAAATTTAATAGATGAATTAGAACGGAAAAGTTTCTAAAACATCCGATACGGCAACTTTTAGGTACCAAAAAACTTTAATGCAGCTATTTGTGAAGAATAAAATTTTAAAGAGTACAAAGTTAAGAATAAAATAAAAGCTCATTGAATTTTCTACAATCTTTCGATAAAAGTATCAGAAAACTCTCAAAAACCATCAAAATTCGCCTCGAGAACACCTTTTGTCGTAGTTTATGATACTTATGCATTTTTCAGAAAAGTCATGAAAAACGCAATGAACCTTCATTTTGTTCACTATTTTGTGCTCTTTAAAATGTAAATATTGAAAAGCAGCTACAACATACTCATCTTAGACCAGAAAAAAAAACCGTATCGAGTTTTTTCTTTGAAATCTGCCATCCTTATTCATCTGTAAACTTTTAGAATACAAACATCAGATAAACAGAAATACTAGTTGATAAAATCCCTATTTGATTTTCAGGTGTTACTTAACATTATCGAAAAAAATCAAAAGTAGTTTTTTTTTATAAAGGTGATAAAGAAGACGAACTTGCGATATTTACCTTAAGTGAATAAAAAACATGCGATAATAAAGTACTTAAAGCAATATTGAAACGTATACCAGCTGTTTCATAAGACCACTTTTCGAACTAGATTAGTGTAAAAGCATTTTTCAGATCTTCTTTGTTGTACGCTGGTAAGTTAGAATCATCGGAAAAAAAACTATCCACAGTTATAGCCGAAAAAAAATCAGAACTAATGAAAATTTTTATTTCGGTCTATTCTAACTACTATTAGCATTCAAATCTTTGTCTATCTCGCACATGATCATGTTATTTGTTTCAATTGACTGACTATTAAAAAATTTTAAAATATACTATTACAAAAATGAAGAACAACTAATTTTTAAAATAGATTCTGTCATCAGTTTTGTAAAATTATTTATGATAAGTTAAGAATATCTTAGCAAAAGAAAAAGGGCTGATAAATATGATCTATTGACTCAATTTTGTACCAGATTGTTTAAAAGTAGGAGTGGCGATTTTCTCTTAATTTATTTCAAGTTCAAGTTTTTCAAATATAAAAATTTAAATTTATTTAAATTCCACATGAATTAATGTAAATGGACTTGAATCCAACTAAATACATTTAAACTGAGTTTGAACAAATTTAAATTTATTTTTGGATTTATTAAATTTTCGTAAATGTAAATGGATCATTTCTATTCAGAATTGCATCACACATTATAGTCATATTAGAATAATGTTCAGAATTGCTCCACTATATCTAGTTTATATTCATAATAGTATCATTGGGGTTATTATCAAAAAAGATTTTTGTTTTTTGATTATTAATTATCCATGATGTATTTGATTACTGGTACGCCAAAATAGAGCATATAGATGCATTGATCCCACCGATTGTATAATTAAAGAACGCTCTATCTAGTGGTAAAAGAATTACTAATTCATTATTTTCGTATGATAATTAAAATGAGTTAGAAGGAAGTTAAATTTTCTCTATTATTTTATCTGAATGTTCATTATAATCTAGTATGGGACTATTCTCAAAAACAAATGGTGGAATTGTTAGAAACATAGGTGATGAAGAATTTTCTACATATATATGTTAGATAAACATATAGAGAACACTTCAGACTAATTTTTAGTCCTTTTCTTGCAAAATTATAAAAAAATAGAAAATTTATGAAATTTCGAACGGCAATTTTGGAAAAGTGTTCAGATTAATCTCTGCCTATTCTATTATTTTTGCAAAACTAATATTAGCAGCAGAAAAAAATCCTTTTAATTTGACTTTTCACTTGAGTAAAATGCCTAGGCTGATTGAAATATTGTTAGCAAATCAATCTGAAGTTGACATCAAGAAGATGAACCTACCCAGAAATAGCTACTTTGTAGACAAAGAAAGTTTTTTCTTAACAGAATGGAATAAATGCAGTCGCCTGACACTTTAATAAATCGAACGGAACCGCTATTATTTTGCTAATCGGTTGTATATATATAGATATATAATTTAGTCAGCAACTAAGTGATTTGAAAAAATGATGATGGATTATCTTACAACGTTGCCTGTGGAATTAATTCATAAGATTCTGGACTATGTTCCAACATTTGATATTCTCTCAACTGTATTGTTTATCAACAAACGATTTCGTTCTGTTTCTATGGCTTATACTCGATTTCGACCGAACTTTACATGTATGGTCACATCGATCAACAAAAGCCAATTTGACTATATTTGTAATCAATTACTTAATTTAACCTCTCAAATTGTGTCATTAACATTATTTGATAAAGATGATCCAATGACACCAATAAAAAATGATCTTTTCTTTTCACGATTTAGCAATATTGATATAACATTTTCAAATCTTCGTTCATTAACTTTGACATATATTAATTATGATACATGGTGTTTATTTAAAACTCGAGTTCCATTATCAATCGTAATATTATCCATTCATTTAGTACATAATCATAGATCTATAGATTCATCAACAACATCTTATGTTCTATGTGAATTACTCTTCTTTTCATTATCACTTGAACGTCTTTCACTTAAAATGAGTAACTATTCGAATGATATGATTATAATTCATCATCAAACTCCAACAATTTTATCATCTATTCAATATTTACATATCGATGGTATTACAATTGATTTATCAAGTTTATTTATTATTGTACCTATGCTTCATACACTTGAAGTTAATTTTCATAATTCAAACAAAATATTTCATACAATTTATGATCAACCATTACAATTACAACAATTACGAATTAAACTATATGCTATTACTTGGATATCAACATCAATTTTACTCTCATCATTTTCACGATTAGACTATTTGACAGTAATTGCTGATGATTTAGATAATGATATGGCTGATGGTAGTGCTTGGGCAGAATTATTAAAAAAAGTCAAACATTTCGAATGTAAACTTCATTTCTATTGTGGTGCTTTTACTGATGAACCAATTAATCTCAATACATTTCGTACAAAATTCTGGCTTGAAGAAAAAAAATGGTTTATTTCCTATGATAAAAATTCTTCAATACTCTATACAAATTCTTTTTTTACAATTGATAACACATCAAATGAATTAATTGGAATTCTTGCATCAGAATTAAACAAATTAGAATCAACACCATTGACACATGTTCATTGTTTAATACAAAATTATCAATATGTAAAATATGCACTCTTACATCAATATACTCAAATTCAACAAAAAAATTTAACAGAAGTTGATATTATATTTCCAATCAATTTTAAAGATATTGCTATGTATCTTGATGTAGCTCGAATTGTTAAATGTTATTCTAACTTTGAATGGATTACAAAATCAACTTCTGATATTATAAAATTTCTACAAAATTTACCTCATTTACGTGCACTTAGTATATCTGGTCCTGTTCTCAATGATCTTTTCTTTTATCAATGGCCTAATATTGTTCATTTAAGAATTGAAAATGATTTTGACAATAGTCTTTATATATTATGTTCAAATACAATTGATGCAATTTGTTCTTCGTTTATTTGTCTTGAAAGACTTGATTTTCATTTAGCATGTGTTGGTGATCTACAACAAGTTCTTAATAGAATAATAAACACGACTTTAATCGATATTCTTATTCGACAACCACGTGGTATCAATAGTAAACAATTTGTTTCATGTGAATGGATTAAACATAATACAGAATTGAAAAATTTTTATTATACATGTGACGCAGAAAATTCTGTTAGTTTATGGTTTTAAAATTGTTATCATGGCAACGTATTATATTGTTTATTTTTTTCGTTCTTCATTTTTATTATTTCTTTCAAGTTTATTACATAATAAAATATAGTTTTTAACTAAACAGCTTACTAAATTATATTTAATACCATTATTTGACTTTCAAAAACAATTACTTGTAGAAATCTTTTGTATTATGATAAATAAGCAAGTAAAATATATTAGAAATAGAGTAGATGAATTAAACTTGAATATTTCTAGAGTACAAACAATTTATAAAGAAAATTCTATTCTATGTCTACACTGCTAACTTTATAAAAGAAATCAATATTCTGTTCGACCTATTTTCTACGCTGTGAACAGGACTATTTTTTCGATAAACGATCAATTTGCTTTTTTTTATCTCATCGATTGAAGAAAACTCTATTTATTGCTGTAGATAGATGACGAAACATAAATTTAAAGGCAAAGTTTGCAACAAGATTTATGACACGATTAGATGCTTGTCAAAATGGTCTCATGTCTCGAATCATCTTCGAATCTGGTAAAATATTATCACATAAAAGTTATATAGAAGTTGTTCTTAGACATCATCCATCTGAAAGTAAATGACACTTGATCAACAGTTACATGATACACAGAGTACTTCGTATATTTCAATGACCGACAAATCGTTGTAGTCTTCATGTTTTCGACTATTATGTATGGGATGATGCCATTGCGAATAATACACAATATGATTTAGATTAAAATCATTATTGTCTCATCGTGGAAACAATAAAATAAATACACCTCATACCAAAATTTAATCTTGTTTGAAACATTAAAAATTGTTTTGAATAGAAATTTTAACATGCAAAAATCGCTCATTTATTATGGCCCTTTGGTTATATTATTTGAAATTTTGGTCAATAGATTTTCAGATAAATATCTGCGCTCATAATTTTGCATAAAATGTCAGATACAGGCAATACTTCAGAAGATGCTTGCCAATGCTTTTTTGACATCAGTAGTAGATGAATAACAATCTGAAAGATCTTCGAAGTTTTCACTAGAAAAAATCGAAGATGTTCATAAGGGTTTTGTAAATGTGCCACTATGAAATGTTCGGACTGTTGCAATAGCCTGTACTTCATTCCATGAATAACAGCAGATTGAATAATGATTGAATATTTTTCTAATGAAGACATACAAAGAATATTCACACGATTAAGAAAAATTTTAGATGATTTCCATCGTTTTTTGCTTCAAAAATATGCCTTTTTTCGAAAAAAATGGAAAGTCTTTTTCGATTACACAATCCGGAATTCTGTGTGGGCTTTCGTTTTATGTATTAATTTTTTTTTCCTACAAAAGATTATGTCAAGATGTACAGCATGCTAGAGTACCTTTTTCGGAATTAAGTATTATTACAGTTATGTAAAAGAGTATTTTATAATTAGAGTCATATATTTTGAGAGCCTTTCGAGACATACAACTTTTCAACTGTTTTTTGCCCTTAAAAAATAAAACTTTAAGAAAAAGACGATGTCAAACTCTGTATCCTCATATGTCTTCTCAAACAAGAACAAATTCAGTATATGGGAGAATTGCAAAATTATTGTACCGTTCCGTGAAAAAAAAGGACGAAAAAAAATTTTCGATTTTAACAACGGTGATTAATGCATTCTACAGTACTACATGGGCTGTGAATGTGGATAAAGTTTCCCGACTACCACTATTAAATTGCCCAAGATACGACGGTCTTTTAAAAAATACTATTAAAAAATTCAAGGCCCAGTTTCTTTGATAGTAAACACCTCAGTTAGATTTTTCGATAGCTTTTTAGGTTTTTGAGTTGGGTCTTTTCTTTGTAATGATGATCTAACTTTGATCTAGAATTAGCGACTAAAATAACACGGTTTGCCTTAAATTTTACTTAGTTTTTTCACTTATACACTGATAAAAGTTGTAAACGTGCAGTTAATTACAGAATGTACATAATTAGTGACTTTTCTCTATAAATTTATTAACCTGTAAAACATAAGCTAGGATTAATTCACATGACTGTTGATAGATCCTTAAATATAGAAGTTAAGTGATATACTATGTATCTACTTTGGCTTTAGTTGTGAGGTAGTTATACCTATAATAATCTCGCGTGACATTTTTCTTAAATAAAATCTCGCGTGACATTTTTGCACTATTTTTCATCTGTTGTGCGAAAAACAAACTTTCTGACCCTGATATTACAACCAATTGTTGGCCACAATGCGTGGATAAAATGGTCAAAGTTTCATCGCAATCTGTCATAGTATAAGAAGGTTATGAAGCAAACAAATTGAAAAATCTCGCGTGACATTTTGTGTGACAACTGAATTTTCAAATTTCATTTTGTATTTTTTTTCAATAAGAAGCAGGACCATTCTCTCATCGTCTTTAGTGGTTTCATATAGCACCAACTACCTTTCATTTAACACAAACCCGATCAATTTCAGATGGGCCATTGCGTAGCAAAATGAATTTTAATCTCGCGTGACAGAAAATTGAGAATTGTCTGTACACATGGTATTTCGATAAAACTGTAATAAAAACTACGTCAAAAGAACCAAAGGGTCTTATATCTGAGAAGTGTAGACTGTATATTATAAATATCACGAACTGTCGAAATTCAAATGACAAGTAACGAACTAGGTATACAACCTTTTGGCAAAAAGACGGCAGCAGAAATCGAACTTTTGAGCCTTGTCCAGCCAATATCTCAGGACTTATTTAAGATAACGTTGTGATTTTTTTGTGTGGTAGTGAGGACTTCTTAGTAGAATATATGGTAAAAAATCATAAGGATTGGTTGAGTAGAACTCGAGATATTGAAATTTTACCTTCAGGAATACAACTGTACAATGATTTTGCAATTCATCCATATATAATAAAGTCCGACAAAAAGTTTGGGGTTGTCCAATGAGCTATTTTTGATCTTTGTTTGTTGAATATCTGCAGAAAATGTCATGATATAAACACGAAAAATTGTATCATAGCCTCTTCACTGCAGCTGCAACATTTTCTGAAAAATTCATGGGATTTTAATCTACTCCCCCTCCACGATAGATTTTTGATGGAGACTTTTAGCATAAACTCATGCAAATTTTTCTTTTCAAACGCTATTCGATACAGTTCTATGTGCTCTTCAATTTTGTATAATTATCACTTTTGTTTGTTGCTTTCCTCATTCTTAAAAATGGCTTTTTATTGATTATATGACATTACAATGTGATCAATTCTATGTCATAAAACAAGTGAGCATTAGACATTATTAACTTACAAGATAGTCCCCTAGAATATCGTATTTTTCTATATGAAGCTGTCTATATATTGATGATCTGTTAACCATACTTAGCGGACCTATTAAAATTTTTAATGTATCAATGAATAGCACAGAGTTTCTGATTAAATGAGTTAAATAACTTCTTAAAAAACCAAAAAAAATTGTTGGTCTCGTAACTCCGGAGGAGGGTAGAGAAATTAGGTTGCAGTAAGAATGACTGTTACTTTGATTATTTCTTTTTCAAATTTTCATGCCAAGTCATCAGGTTTGATTTAGAAATCAGATTCTAGGAGAATCTATAAATATCTTATTTTCATTTCAGAAGTAAAATTTATTCATAGTCTCGCATCCCTTTCATAGATCGGTGTTCAAAAACTTGTTTCGGTTTTGAGTATAGGTGTGGGTGTAACAGTGAAAAGTAGAAAAATACTGATATCCAGACCCACATCCACAGACACAATTTTTGCTTTTATAATGGTCCAACTTCAATTGTAACCAACAAACGAATCGAAGTCACACATGAATGGTTAACTGGACATATTGTTTCAAAGGAAACAAGAATAATTTTATTTGTCAAATCAATGATCACTCTCTTTTTGCATCGTCTTAATGAATCGATGAAAACGATCAAATAAGTGAAAATTCTCATTATTGTGATACCAAACTGCAATATTTCACTAGTTTTCGCCAAAATGCATATCATAGATTGTCAAAGTTTTGTTATATGAAATCGAAAGCTTTCTTTTCGCTTCTTTATCACAGTGTATAACTTTCCTTTATATTTTCCAAGACTCTACTTATTCTTGAAAATGATCATTTCATTGCAATGAATTCCTTGAATGAATTGGTAATGCACAATTAAAATGAAATATGAATTGCTCTACAGCAAGAAGAAATGTTCAAAAAATATCGGTCCGTATCATTTCTGTTTTTCGTCAAAACAATTCCTGATAACGTTTTGCTGTTTTAATTTCTGTTTTCATACTTGCACATTCCTTGCTCACTAGTTTCTCACTCAACTTAGACTAGAATTAACACGATCAGTTCGGTGGATATGTTTTAACCAAGGCAAGACACTCTTTGCATCACATGAATCATTGAAACCAACGACGCAAAATTTGGTTGCTATACATCCTTTCTCTTGGGTCTGTTTCATGGAGAATAGACGATGTATTTCAACAAGATATATTACGTGTTTGCTTTCATTTGCATAGAAAGACTCTGATAAGCAATTGACGAATGCACACCTTGTGTTGATACCGATGTGATAGTGTTATCAGTAATATTACGAAAGTATGCATTTTGAGACTCTTTCATGCAGAGTAATGGATGACAATATCAATGAAAGATATTAACAATAAAAATAATACTAATAAAGACATTTGCAAAGAACTAATGTGATATTAGCGATATTAAATAAGTTTTGAGATTGAAATATTGAAAAAAAAACAACAAACTATTAGGTTTCACTATTCATACAATTATGGCAAATTATTTTTCGCTTTCATGAAGCACATACATACAACACAAACACACAAATCAGTGCCTTGAATTCGATTTCAATTGAATCAGATTTGAGATGCAATGACTGTGAGAGTGTACCTGAAAAATTGCTTTGAAGAACAGTCAAAAATGCTCACTGAAGATGTTCATATAGTATTTCGTACAAGAAAATCGTAAAGAAATAAATAATCCTCTCCATATCGAGAAAAAAACT